TGTTTGCATCTCTTCTCATTCCACGGTTGAGTCATCTTAGCTGTTTTGTTTTGCATTGGGTTATTTTTGAATGTGCCATAGTTTGTTGGTCAGCCACTATGTGCTAGGCACTCTACTACATCTTATCTTGAAGACTTGAGGAGGGCTAGGAAAGTGGCCTTTTCTTACAGTAACCTTGTGTCCAGGGCCCACCCTTCTCTTTGCTTTCTGTGGGGGCACAGTCCGTTTTTCAGTGACAGGCCTGATGTCATGATGATTTCAAGTGATTTGGCCCAAAGACAACACCTACTCCCTGAACAATATCCATGAAAACTTAACACAGTAACTCGAGTGAGTCACATTTTCCCTGTGGATGTGATTTGCAGATGTCGGGATGGAACTTAACCAGGGCTGCCTTCTGAAATGGAACTTCCAGAGAGCAGCAGACTGCAGAGCTGCCTTCCCAGAAAAAGAAAAGCCTCCTCTAGACAATTAAGAGCTCTGATCACACAAATGAAGGCAAGGTTTCCAAAGAAATGGAAATAAGAGTTGAGAGAAAACGAGCGTGGAAAATTTCTTCACAGAAAGATTCAAACTCACTGTAGAGCCATGTAAAGGAATCTTTTTTTTTTTTTTTAATCAAAATATGTTCACAAATACTGGCTTATTTGATTCTCATAATAACCTTGGATGTGGACTGTGGATGTGGGCCACAAAAACATTATCCTCCATTTTGTGGTTGGGAGAAGCCAAAGAGAATGTAGTGGTTTGCATCTCAGGGCACATGACTAGCAAATGATGGAAGCAGGACACCGGTCTTCTGGTTACTCCTAGACAGTGTTCTTTCTGCCTCACCCTGCTTTTACAAACTGGAGGTAGGTCACCTAAGTAGTAATCTATTTTCTTTCAGAGAGAAATGTATCTTTTAAAAAAATGAGGATAAAAAATAGTCTTAAATAGGAGCGCCTGGGTGGCTCAGTCAGGTAAGCATCCAACTCTTGCTCTCAGCTCAGGTCTTGATTGCATGGTCGGGAGTTCAAGCCCTACATTGGGCCCCATGCTGGGCGTGAAGCCTACTTAAAAAAAAAAGTCTCAAATAAACATAAAAACGGTATTTTAGTTATATTTTATAATACATTCAAAGATTTTCTTAAGATAGAAAAACTGAGGGGCAGAGGGAAGTAGGGACAAAACGAAGTGGAAAAAGACACAGTGGAGTGCTAGATACACCCATGACTTACATGGAGTAACAGCCCCATAGTGTCGCTTTTTACAACACAAAAGGGCGGTTATCTTTTCACAATGATAAGCAGAAATGTGGGCAAAACTTCTCCTGGGAGCTGCTGATGTTGAGGATAAACTTTGGGGTAGGAATGAGAGTTCTCTTAGCTGTGGCTGAAAATGAGGGAGATCATTTCCTTTGATGTTGTAATGTTTAACTTTGAGAACTAAGCTACTGCTCTGGATTCAGCTCCTTCTTTATAATAATGGGCAATGACGACTGATGAGCACATAGAATACGAAGAGTAAGAGAAAGCATGGCAAGAGAAAACCAGAGTGGTGGCTGTTTAACACATTAGGATCATCCAGGAAGCTGTAAACCTGTCCAGCCCAGCCCTGACCCCAAACCTTTCGAGCCGCCACGGCTGGGACCCTGGCAGCAGATCAGGACTTAAGAGTCTACAGGTGTGGCCAATGTGTGGCCAGTTGGAGAACACTGGTCCAAAAGATCTGTCCCAAAAGGCTGATATAGGAAAGGAAAATACACCAAAATAACTGAAATGAGATTGGGGGAGGGCCACGCAAAGTCTTCTCCTGGAAGAGAGACTGAGAACAAAAGATAGAGATGATTCAGGAGGTGAGAACGCAGGAGGGTGGCAGCTGAAGATGCCGTCTCTCTGATTCAACTTCCAAGAGCAAAGACAGAGGGGAGAACCCGGGGATTTTGCTGGAAAGTTGAGTGTAAGAACATCTTCCCCCTTTGCCTTAAGTGACCTTTATTCCAATGCAGCACTTTGAGGGCTGGGAGAAGGGTGCTAAATCCTCCGATTCATTTGGTGCTGGGCCTCACACAGCAGCAGTGTAGGAGGAATTCTCACCGGAGGGAACACTTGCTCTTATGTAGGACTCCTAAGGTTTCCCTCCTCCAAAGAAGCCAACGGTTCTGACAATGGACAGACCAGCCATACAAGAACAGCTGCCTCACCAGTGGAGGTGACCAGCCAGGCCAGCAGGAAGCTGGTGATGGTGAGTGGGTGAGGGACGCTGAGATAATGTGTGATGAGAATGAGAAAGGAAAAGAAAATGTCAGCTTTCAAATTCCTTCTGAGATGGAGTCAGGATGAGGGGTTTCTCCTTTTATAAATGATCTGAATGAAGGGATGAAACTTCCTTTTAGATCGATATTCGTACCAATATCACTTGTTATGGCTACACCACCCCAGGAATCCTTAGTGTCATGACCTCCCTCCCCACCCACTCCCAGTGAGTGTAGAAGCTCCCTGAGGGGCTATTTCTTATGCAGCTTTGCAGCCTTTAAGGTATACAGTTTAGCACCTCCCCAACATGTAGTAGAATCTAAGTGAAAGTGGATGGAGAAACCAATGTGTATGGGAAATACCATGGGCTAAATTAAATGGGTCCCCCTGAAATGCAGGTGCCATGTCCTGTTGCTAAGGGGCCAGCGGGGATGCCCTTTGGGGAACCCAGGTCCAAGGGATTTCTACTCTCCAACCTCATTCAGAATGGGGGCAGGGAAGAGGAGAATGGACTAGAGATATCCTGGAGGTGACATTTTAGATCATGACACTTGGAGACTCTCTGACAGGAATGTGGAGGGCAAGGCAGTAGAATGATCTTCTCATCCCTCAGGTCATGGCCAACACTTTGGGGAAGCAATTGAGGGACCACAGCACCAGGTGTCACTGCTTCCCAGAGAAGTCAGTTTGTGACCAAGTGGATTTTATGATGCTGAAGTCCTTTCTGGAAGGCCAGAGACACTTTGAAATTGGGTGTCCAAGTGGGCTTGAGAACTGGACTTTTCTATTGGTGACAGAGCTCTTGTTTCCTCCAAAGCAGTAGGCCCTGAGTAAGCTCTTGGAACCCCCCTGAAGCCTTGGAAAACTTGCCATCTTCTGAACAAAAGCATCTCGGACATACCCTGAGGAAATAGTTACATGGAAGTTTATGCTCAGTCTCACTTTGTTTTGCCTGCAGCGTATAAAAAGTTTGCAGTGTGCACCTCCCGTGCTCTGATGTTGTGGATTAATCACATTCTGAGGTACAGCCTAGAGCCTGGCCCTGCCTGAACTTTCAGTGAGAAGATGCAGATATATTGGTCAGGACAATTATGGAGATAGGTCAGGGCATTAGAGGCTTTGGCTGCAGGCACTGGTGATTAGGTTAGAGCCCGTTGGACAAATGGATTAGTGTTGGCTGATTGGGCTCCCTTGGACAAAGGGAAAGAAAAGACTACTTTAATCAAGACTAAGCCACATCTCCCAGGCAGTCAGCCATCGTCAGTGCCTAAGAATGTTCCAGTATGCTGAGGCCTGGCTGGTGTCTGTTAGATGGGACTCTGCACCTGCATCAGTCGGGAATACTGTCAAAAGATGGAAGCCTGGGAGGAAAAAATCTAGGTCAACTTCTGTTGATTCCCTAACATTCTAGTTTCATGACTTAAAATGTACTTCTTATTGGTCCAAATAACTACTGGACCCCAAGTTTATGAATATAAGCACTTTCAAGCAAGCTAAGTGGCTCCCAAGGAATATATAGTTATTCCAAGACTTGGACTATATTTGCATTGACCTTGGCTTCTTACTTCTTTATCAGCTCCTAGGTCTATCTGATTGGGTCTTGCCATTTGTCAATCCTGGGTAATGAAGCTTCTAGATGAGCTCCTGGGCTGCAGTGTGTTGATTTTCCTGCCATGGTTTCCTTCTCCTTGTGTCTTCTGGAAAAGAAGACCTGGTCTGAGTTCCCTGGGTGTTTCTTTGCTGGCAACATTTGGAACCTTTGAGAATCAGTCAATATTTATTCCTTCTGGCTGGGGAAATCAGGGAGGGTGAACTGATCTCTGTATTTAAGAAGAGGTAGCATTTAGGCCAAATTTATCAAGTCTGAGTGCACCTGAGACTTGCATGGGTGGGGGCGAAGGGGATTGGCAGGGTTAAAAATTATTAATACCTGGGCTCAACCTAGATATTTCTCATTCAGTTGTTTGGTATGAGGCTCAGGCCTCAGCAGTGTTCCTAAAGTTCCTTGGGTGATATTAATGTGTGGCCAGAGTTGAGACTCCGATTTCAGGTTCTCAGCTGAAAGGAAATTTGTAGGTGGGTGTAGGTATCCCATCTCCCTGATTAGATTATAAGCCCCTAGAGAGTGAGGACAGTATCCTTTGTTTTGGCATCTTCTCCCTCAGCGTTTAATAGTGTGCAATATGCACGGGGGTTCTCAGTAGGTATTTAAATATGAATTCTTGGGTGCATGGACAAAACATTCCCGGAGAAACCTCATCCTGTTGAGGCAGTGGCTACTATTTTAAACACACTGCAATCCGGAGGCCCTTTTAGGGAAGTCTGGGCCAGCTGGACCTGTCACAGTTACACTCAGCACCAACCTAGCTGCTTAAGAAATGTCTAGACGGAGAAATCCTCCAGACAATGAAAAGTAGAAGGTGTCTAGGGTATTCTTTCTGCCTCGCCTTGTCTTGCTTTGCTTTGCTTTGCTTTCTACAGGGAGGTGGGAAGGGGGAGATGGTCAAGTATCTGATAAGGCATCTCTGTTTCCCTTATCTTAAACATACAGTTTCTGTAACTTGCTGGAACCCATTATTTCATTATCAAGTTTTCCTTGGAAACCTTAGACGAGGGGCCCCTGGATGGCTCAGTGGGTTATTCATCTGACTCTTAACCACAGCTCAGGTCATAATCTCAGGGTCATGAGTTCAGGCCTGCATCAGGCTCCACACTGGCCATGAAGCCCACTTAAAAAAAAAAAAAAAAAAAAAAAAAGAAACAAGGGAAAAATTAGACAATAGAGTCGCTTGTCTAAGTACATCTGGAAGGAGCCTCTGCGGTTATCCCTTGATACACTATTATGATTCAAGTGCCTGTAGGTCTGAGCACTTCATTCTCATAAAGAAGGAAACTGAGAAAAGCATGACAAAACAGAGAGGGAAGCAAGAAGAGAAAGCCAAGAGAGGGTGAGAATGGAGTTTAGAATGAGCCCTGGCATAACAGCCACCTTTGCTACATAACACAATGGTCTATGGATTCTATTTCAAAAATCGACCTAAAAGCACAGAAGAGCATTTTGGATTTTCAAAAGCAGCATACACAACAAGGAGGGATTGCGGATCAATAAGAGACTAGATGGAGCCTCACAATTAAATGCTTTCTATACCGTGAAGAGCAGATTTCTTCCGTTCCCTTTGTTCCTTTCTCTCTCTCCTCTCCTTCCCACAAACACTCATTGAGCTAAGAATAAAAGCTCACAGTCTTCACATTCCCTCAAAGAGGTCATGATTTCCTAGGGCAGATAGGGCATGCAACAGCTCTGACAAACGGTGGAACATGAGACATGCCCAAGCGAAGGAAGGAACGTGGGAAAGGAGGGGCTATGCTCCCACAAAGCTGTTCCCATTAGAAAATGAGCCCCAAAGGCAGCCCAGCTTGGTGAACTCAGCCAAGAGAGAGTGGGTCTGGCCCAGCCCGGCTCTCAGAACGCAGGCATGACGCCCAAGAGGAAGGTCAGCGAGGTTGTCATCTAAACCTCCTCCTGTAAAAGTGGAAACAAAGCTAAAAAAGGAGGCAGGTGGGGTGCCTGGGTGGCTCGGTCCATTAAGCATCCGACTTCAGCCCAGGGCATTATCTCGTGGTTCACAATTTCGAGCCCTACATTGGGCTCTGTGCTGAGAGCGCAGAGCCTGGAACCTGCTTCGGATTCTGTGTCTCCCTCTCTCTCTGCCCCTCCCCCGCTCGCTCTCTCTGTTTCAAAAATAAACATTAAAAAAATTCTTTTTAAAAAGGCAGCAGGAAAGTATAAATCTTCAGACAAAAAAGTGCAAACAGGGAAAAGGGGAGCAAAGGGAAAACGGGCTGAAGTGGCTAACCAAAAACCAGACGACTTTCTCCTGCAGAAAACGGAGAACGTAAAAATGAGGAAAGTCCAGCCTCTGACGAAGCAGGAGAGAAAAAGCCAAGTCTGATTAATACCATGTCTTTTCAGTGTCCCTGTCTCCATTCTTGTACAATCTGGAGGACTGTTTTTATCAACTATTTTATAAACGCAAGTTTTTTTGGTAGCTCTTGAAACATTTTTTAAAAAGAGAGAATCCCACCTTGTCCCATTTTTTAAGTGTAAATGCTTTTTTTAAAGAAACGAAATCATTTGCAGGTTGTTTATTTTCAGGTACAACCAGAAAATAGTGGGATATTGAATTTTGGAGGTTTTGATTGTCTAGGGTGTCAGCTTAACATTCCATAGATGGGGCAGTTTTCGTAACCTATAACACCAAGCCAACTAAATGACAATTTGGAGTCAGTCTTGCATTTCATATGTCTTGAAAATTTTAAATTACCTCTATTCCCATGTTGCTTTTGGTAGAATTGTTTCCTAAATAAAACCACTCCTTGATCTTCACTCTCCTTGTCAGAATTTTGTGTGCTCTGTGTAACACCTTGGTCGTGGTAATCCAGTTTTCCTGGTAACTTTGTTAATGTGCCGTGCAAGATCGAAAATTTGACTATGTACTGTATATGATATTAAATTGTAAATTAGTGGGGCTTACCAGTGTAACATGTGTAAGCATATCTTCCACAACATTTGAAGATATTGGTACTTGATATAATGTTAAGGAAAATTTGCCTCCAAATTTTAAGATGGAAGGTCACTGGAATAACTTTTCAAAAAGAATCACAACTACATGATTTTTTAGATTTTTGGTATGTACGTTAAGAATTCTGTACAAATTGAAATCTCTGTATGATCCTCAGAACAACCAATAAAAACTCAATTATTAAAGAAAAAGAATGAACCCCCAAATGAACTCTGGTTCTCAAAGTCTAAAAGGACATCTAAGGCCATCTCATCCAGGGTGCCTTGTGGGATCCTTAACCAATCCATGGTTGTAGAACCTTACTTAAATATTTGCTGTCTTCCATTGCCAGACACTTCTAGCATCCTTAAGCAACAAAGTCAGTCATTATCATTCACGACTCTCATAGTTATGATAGAAAATTGCTTCCTGGTGGAAGCAAAAAAGATAAGTTAGTAGCTCATATAACAGTAATGTCCAAGATGTAGGTCTGGTTTCAGACAAGCCTAGGTGTAGGGCTCCATAGGGAGTCTTCTGCTCTCTCTCCCTCAGCTCTGCTTTCCTCAGATTCAGCTTCATTCCCTGGCAGGCAAGAGGGTCACCAGCACCTCAAAGTTCCTATAAACTTAGCAACCCACAAAGAAGAGAGCACCTCTTTACTACCAGTCTTGGAAAACTCTCATTAGCCTAGTTGGAGTAAGGGCCAATCCTTAAAGAAGGAATGATTTTTTTTTTCAACGTTTATTTATTTTTGGGACAGAGAGAGAGCATGAACGGGGGAGGGGCAGAGAGAGAGGGAGACACAGAATCGGAAACAGGCTCCAGGCTCTGAGCCATCAGCCCAGAGCTTGACGCGGGGCTCGAACTCACGGACTGCGAGATCGTGACCTGGCTGAAGTCGGACGCTTAACCGACTGAGCCACCCAGGCGCCCCAAAGAAGGAATGATTAAAGATAATTCCAAGGTTTCAGACTAGGGAAAACTGGGAAATATTAATACCTTGACCAAAATTAGTGTAATCAGAAAGAACACTAGATTTGGAGAAAGAGAAATTGGAAAGGAAGAATTTGTTTTGGGATAAGTCAAAGATATTCGTGGGATTCTAATGAAGAATGGCAGATGGTTAGAAAAATGACTGTGGTACCAAATGGGAGAAGATATTTGCAAATGATATAACCAATAAGGTGTTAATATCCAAAATATATAAAGAACTTATTCAACTCAACACCAAAAAACCACATATCCCAATTAAAAAATGGGCAAAGGACTTGAGTAAACATTTTTCCAAAGGAGACATCCAGATAACCAACAGACACATGAAAAGATGCTCAATATCACTCATCATCAGGGAACTATAATGAGATATCAAAGATATAATGAAATATCACCTCACACCTGTCAGAATGGCTAAAACCAAAAACACAAGAAACAAGTGTTGACGGGGATGTAGAGAAAAAGGAACTCTTGTGCACTCTTGGTGGGAATGCAAACTGGGGCAACCATTGCAGAAAACAGTATGGAGTTTTGGTCAAAAAATTAAAATTAGAATGACCATATGATCCAGTAATTCCACTACTGGGTATTTACACAAAGAAAATGAAAACACTAATTTGAAAAGACATATGCATCACTATGTTTATAGCAGTATTATTTATAATAGCCAAGATATGGAAGCAACCCAAGTGTCCATCAATAGATGAATACATAAAGAAGATGTGGGGTGTGTGTGTGTGTGTGTGTGTGTGTATATATATATATATATATATATATATATATATATATATAGTGGAATATTACTCAGACATAAAAAAGAATGAGATCTTGACATTTGCAACACTATGGATGTATCTAAAGGGTATAATGCTAAGTGAAATAAGTCAGTTAGAGAAGACACTAACATATCATTCATATGTGGAATTTAAGAAACAAAATTAACAAAGAAAAGAGACAAAAAAACCAGAATCTTAAATAAAGAGAAATGATGGTTACCAGAGGGAAGGGAGAAGGGAGGGGGTTGGGTGAAACAGGTGATGGGGATTAAGATTGCATTTATCATGATGAGTGCTGAGTAATGTATCGAATTGTTGAGTCATTGTAGACCTATGTTGCAATGCAACACTATGTTGATTATATCTGAATTAAAAAGAAATAAAAATTTTTAAAGTTAAAAAAAAAGGAAAAGGAAGAGGGAGAGTTTTGTGGAGAAGCTGGAATTGGAGGTGAGAATCTGGATCATTCTATAGAAATGAGAATGAGAGCTACAAAATTGATTGTATTCAGTAAAGAATAGTATGTAAAAGTGAGGGTTGGGGAGGCTCTGGACAGGTGACTTGTGAGCTATAAAGCATTCAGTAAGTGGAAATTTCTATTATTAGAATCTATTATGTATGAGAAAGGAAGAAAACAAGAGGCCAGAGAAGGAGAATGAGATTACAGGATGGGGCCTGAGATGCTGCAGATCATAATAACCATAATCAGGATTCTTGACTAGGAAAGTCAATTTCTCTAGGTAACTCAATTCAAATTGGCTTAGTAAAAAAAAAAAAAAAAAGGAGTATTTTGACTCCTATAACAGGTAAGTGCAGGGTAGTCCAGACTTAGATGAATTCTGGGATTCAATGACTTTGGGACTTGTTCTTAGTCTTTTCACCTTATTCTGCTTCCCTATGTTAGCTCAGAAATCTTCTTCTTGTGGTGACAAAAGAAAGAGAAAGAAAGAAAGAAAGAAAGAAAGAAAGAAAGAAAGCCAGCCAGGAGCTCTATTCTATCTTCTTGAGAGCAGTTCTCCAGACAGTTCCAGTAAAGGGCTCCAAATTCGTCTTACTGACTCTGGTTGGCATACCTGCCATTATATGCCCATTTATAAGCTAATCTCTGGGGCAAAAGTTTGTTATTCTCTGATGTTTTGAATTAAATCAACTGGAGACGTGAATGGAGGCATCCAAACAACATGGGCTGAGAATAAAGGACGGGCGATTCCCTAGAGGAAAAGTGAGGTGCTGTTCCCAGAAGAAGGTGAAATAGATACAGCAAAAACAAGACTATCTACCACAGAAACCAGGAGAAGAATGTCAAGACGGGTGATAGTCCCAGAGGTTGAAGAATATGGGAAGTGAATGGACACAGTGCACCTTAGGCAAAGGCAGACGTTCTTTAGACAAGTGGCTGAGTCATTTACTTCTTTAAAAGATCAGAAACATGGGAGGAAAACAGATTTTAGTGGGTGAAGGAGTGAGTGGGAGTAGAAACACTGTAAAGGCAGGGATTTGGTATTTTAAAGAAGTCTCTGAAGGAAGCAGAGAGACCAGCTCTAACCCAATTTCCACAATTATTGAGCCAGGCACTTTGCTAGGCACTAGGAGAGCTGAGATGAGTAATTACCAGTCTGTGTCCTCAAGAGGCTCAAAGCATGGAAAGGAAGGGAGAATGGTCAACAAATAAAATACGCAAAGAAGGAATATGTAGTATCTCAAAGGTTGCAGAGTGAAAAGGTGCACCCCTGGGAGCCTGATATTAGATCAGAGCTATCTCACAAGAGAGAATGACGAAATCTATCCAAGGGTTTGGAGGAAGTCTCTTCATGGAAGGTGGTGCCTGAACTGGGTTTTATGTGATGAATGGGAGTTTGCTTTAGGAAGCAAAATGGGGAAAGGGGTGCCAGGCAAAGGCAGAAGTTTCCTAAGAGGCTCATGGATGCATATTGTGGGAGTGAAAAGCACTGAGTGGGGGAAGGCAGGTGGAGAAGGACCCATGTGATATGTGGAGGGGGTGAGGGCTTTGTCCAGTGGTGTTGGGCAGGGGACAGTGAAATGTCAGTCAGGGCAAGACACATCAGACTAACATGTTAGAAGAATCTCTTTGGATCCGTCTAGAGAGGAAGCCGCATGGAGATGGACAGGCCAGTTCAGAGGATGGGTTGGTGGTGGTGGGAAGGAGTGACAACGTACAGTAGACTTCTGTGCCCAATAGACACTGAAGAAGGGAGAGAGTGAAAGGACCATCAAGAGCAAGGGAAACTCATGAAACTGAATAGTTATTGGATGGAGGAGCGAGAAAGAGCAAGCTTTGAAGGCAGGTGACAGAGATGAGGAAGGATGCCCCGGGGAGGGCGATGCCAGAGGTGCAGGGCGGGGGAATGGGGAATGGGAGGAGAGCAATACCCAGAGAGGCAGGGAAGGCGGTGCGGCTCCACACACGGTGGCGGCGCCACAGGCTGAACGCTGAGTGGAGGGGAAAGTTAGAGAAAAGGACTAAGAATCTGGCGTGTCATTGAGGACGGCACAACAGTTGGAGGGCTTTAA